GGCATAGGAGGGGATTTACTACTGGTATAGGTATCCTTGGCCTGTAGACAGAGAGGACCTGCATGTACTGCATAGTCATAGACTCAGACAGGAAAATAAAATGAAATAGTAAACTATGTGGGTGATTGACTTGTCACCCCCGCAGGAGCAAGTTAGGTGGGCGTCTATGTGACAGAAACGATCGTGATAAGTGCGAAAATCTCCCTGTCCAGTTCTAAAAGTTGGAATAACTAGGGCTACAAAGTAGGCCACGTTATCCATACACACGTGACTGCAAATTCTGTACTTCGTTTCTCTTAGGTAATTGATTTAATCGATGCATTCTACAACTTCAATGACTGAGGGATCATTATTTTCTTTCGAAGTCGCATGTTTGCAGAGGACACCACAGACATGTGTTCAGTCTTTGTCTTCTACCACGGTTGGCTGAGAAGCCTTAGGTGAAGCTTGTTTTTCCGGCGTAGTCAACAACGCACGCTTGATCATTATGGTATCTTCCAACAACGTATTAAGTAAATATCGAATTGATACTCGATACTCGATACGCTATGTAGCGGATCGCAATTCAAGAGGTTCTCAGCATCTTTCCCCCTCTTGGCAAACCAACCAAAGTATATAGTCCTGAAACCACTCAGGCCACAAAAAGTTCCATTGCTGCCCTCCCAAGTTCTATGGACTTCCATGCTTAAAAACATCTCTTCTGTCTTGTCAACCAACAAATAGACATCCGTCTTGTATAGCTGCCTATCGCCTCATCAGGCTTAGGGGACTATTCTCAACACCTGTCAGTGGTGTCCCCTACGAACCTCCTGCTCTCACTGTAGAGTCTGCAGAGCCGAGATTGTGTAACACCTTATTAACTTTGAGCTGAGTTATCTCCTCCTCCGTCAAAGACACGCTTCCGATATTACACAAGACGACCAAGACTATGATAACGATGCTGGGAATGAGGAAAGACAATGCGGGACTAAACGCTACAACGGTAGTCAGAGAAGCCTTCGTTATATCACAACATGTGCTACCCACCGGCGGGCGAACAAAAAGCCCGCGAAAGCAAAGTAAAAGACCCTTCCGCCCTCAAGAAAAGCAGATTTCGACTCGTCTAAATTATCGTCCCTACTAATCTTAACTTCCGAATCTACTAGTCAGGAGGGCATCTGAAATACATGAGTTACTCGACGACCCCACGTCCGTAACGACTTTTGGATGCTAGGCTAGGCTCCTTCACGACAGTCACTCTCGACCAAGAATTTTCTGACACCTTTTCACGACCTTCGATTTGTCCTGCGGCATGAATCAGGGGAGGAGTAAGGAGGAGGCTAGAAAGGTTGAGAGACGCTCTTAGGTATACACAGGTCTGCTGCGCCCGACTGGCCGGCATCTTCGTCATATGAGAGCCCTACACCCAGAGGTTTTTAAGACTTTTCCCTGCAGCTATAAACCCGCAAATGATTATGGTTTCGTTGGCTGGAGAGGAGAGGTAATGACGGGATAACAGCTCCTCTTAGTGTGTACTCGAATGAAGACCTGTGGGGTTATTACTGCTGGAAAGATGTCGTGAAGGAGGCATAGGAGGGAGTACACAACCCGAGGCATAGATACTCCCGGCCTGTAGGGAGAAAGCACCCACATGTCCTTACAGAGTTATAGACTTTTTAGGACAATAAAAACTCACTCACCTTATCAGGCTTCAAACTAATGACTAAATTTAGCAGGCTCTCGGCTAGCGCACCCGCAGGATCCATGCGTCCTGTAATTCGAAAGGTACGTTTAGTGTTCGGGGGTACCCTGAGTGCCGTGGACCCATAAAAATAAGGTTGCAGCTGTCTCATTATTTAAGCCTTCGCCCCTGTCGCGTCGATCCTCTCCTTGACCATATCTAGAGCCAAAGGGATTCTGGCTCCGTTGTGTGTTGCTTTTACCTCTAGTTTAGCCTCAGCAGGCCCCTGTAAAATACAAAAAAACCCGAGCAATCAAGCACTCAGGTAATTCTGGAGCTGGCATATCTAAATCGGCTGGGAGGTAACATGAATATTTTGCTGTGTACCATGGATTCATCGAGCAAAAGACACCTTACTGATGAGTCTTACAGGGTCTGAGAAAAGCCAACAACAATCATTTTGATACCAGCTAGCTAGAACTCATGATAACCTCCACGGAGACGTCACATATTCTAGTCCAATAATAATTTGAATACTGAGCACTCCAGAATATACTGGAAAAAAATTTTTTTAATGAGATGCATGAGTATACTAGTCGACTCGATGCAGGAAACGCCTCTTGCACAGTATTAAGATCCAGGCGTATACTTTCCTTTCCTATAATACATACATTTTTATTAATAGATCCATTGTAGTTTACTGCTAACCAGTACGTGGAATAAAGTTGTACATGCTCAAGCTCTTGCAAAACTCCCAACAGAAAAGACTCTCCTATCACATTACTTCTAGCGTATCCTAGAGCTGGTTGGGATGCCCTTTCAAAATTAAAGATACAGTATTGCACGTCATATCGCAGGATGGTCTGATATTAAGCCAGTAAAAATAATTCTAATTATTCAAAAATAAAATTGTGAGAGTTGATCAGTTTTGACCAAAATTCTTGAATCATAAAATTGGTCTAGAAGTTGCTAAGTTGAATGTTAGTTTTACCTTTACTACGATGAATGAATATGATGGCGGCTACTATCGACTGCCCATAAGCTTGGTATACTAAAAAGTTTGATTCTTAAATTGTGGTCAAAATCTAATTTTTATCGCGATTAGTTCACAGTTCAGAAATCTAGCCTTTGCTAACTTTGAATTGCTGCCAATTTCAGACCTCGCTCTCTGTTATTATGTGGCATTAATTGATTGTAGTTTATATCTTTAGGCTCTGTGTCCCATACCCTCCGTTCGATATGTTCTTCCCACTAAATGTCAACACTTGAGTATCACCTCATATTACTTGCAGAGCATTTTTGGTATTTTAGATAGGTATCCTATTTGACCTAAGATACTGATCTTACCTTTCCATGATGAGATTTTTAAGCTGTCTTTTGAATGTAACTCTGTTGCGTGCGTTTAATGGTCATGATTTGAATGTAATATATAATAGCATGAGTGCTATAAGTGTTTTGTCCAATCTGTGACTGAGATGAAATAAATATCAGATATGTAGTATTGAGTTTCAAGAAAGTTGTAAATTACGAGTTGATTGATGTAAACATTATATTGTATTAAATGAAGCCTACTGATGTGGGCACAGAATCTATTCAATCAGTGTTGGGCTTGTACCACGTGATTTGAAGAGCGGTGTGAGGCTGACACTTCAACTGTAAGTCTCTCCCACTATCGTTAGAGAACAGGATGAAGAATGTCATGTTCCAGGGAGTCGGTCATTAACTCAGACGTTGATGTTTAGTGGCGTAAGACAGGGAGCTTTGAATCTTTGGGGATTGTGGACCACTGTTGGTATCAATAGCTACCTGAGAATATTGGAGGCCTTAAAAGTCAGTTTTCGACTCATGTTAAAACTGAGACGATTCTTGTTTGTGTGCTTGTAGAGTCCCTGTAGTCCAGGATGATTGGCATGACTCCCAAATTTTGCAAACCCTGGGTTGAGAAATCTAGAAAATCAATTTCTTACTCTACCCAGGCACTGACTTTGGAAAGAGATAGTGTTACCAAGACCCTAAAGATCTATTCGTGAGGGTAATTTGATCCCTGAGTGATGGAGCAAATTCACCGTGGATAATGTAGCTAGATGCATGATCAAAGATGTTACATGGGGTTGGGAATCGTCCCTGGTTGATGCGCGCAATATTGGTATTCTTATTAGTCATCGTCGCGACAGCCGAGTCGGGTCCCCGTAGATTTAATCCGATGCAAGGCTGAAGATTATATCACGTGACATATAAGTGACAACTTATTCTATGACTCTCTCCATCCGTCGCATCACTAGGCCGTTCAGCACATGACAGTAGTAACGAGCTGTGAACAGGCACGACGTTGAATTCAATCAAAATCAAATCACTTATCCGTCGCATCAACGAAAAATTATACAAGATGTAATCAGCGGAGTTCAAATCTAAAGACACTGCCGCCAGGCATAAATCGTCTTTAGAAATTAGAAATTTTACGATAATGTCAGATCAAAATTACATCCGCATATCCTTTCGTCACTTTACTGTTTCAAAAATGTTTGCTACTCAATACCCAGTCATAGGGTGTGTTACCATTGTCTCAGATATCTCTAATATAGCAATTCTACTAAGATCATTCCATTACAAAATAATTCTCAGTAGTATTCCTGTCTCACCTGTCAACGTCGGATGTTTTTCATTTGCATTCATACATGATGCCACCATAGGCCACCAACGTCCTGATTCAGGGGCGCTTTTGCTTACTTTAGACCGAAGAAATACTGTTCCATCCCCGTCCTGATCCAAAAGCTTGGGACGTCTCGAATCATCACGATGGGTACAAACTAACCTGACTTTTTCAGATCTCTTGAAGCTATCTCTTAGTCCCATCTCATTCTCTCATCCCTTCGTCTTAACTGTTTTACAATTGTCAGTTACAATATTCAATCTATACAGATACCCACCGCGGCCTCAATCCCCGCTCCAGTTCGGATATACAGCCCGACAGGCATACTAAAGATTTCATATTAAATTCAAACTTAACGAAATTCCAAATAATTACCAGTTATTCATAGCCTACCATAACATCTCCCAAAATCTGGATCAGTCATTGATAGAAAGAATACACTCGTTAAAGTCTCAACTTGTCGGCTGGCCGCTTCGCTGAGGCTTCTGTCTTCCAAAACTTAAGTATCCAAGTTGCACAACCATTGTATTTAGAGTACTAAGAGAAATATATGTTAGTTTATGAACCGTGCTCTTGGACAGGAGTAAATATCACTGACAGAAATTAATCAGGGGGCACACACTGGAATATTATACGCTTTAATTTGTGTGACGGTGGCTAGGGCCTGGAGCTCAAATAAATGAGCATATAATGAAAGGAAATACCATAAATACGATTGTTTTGTCACTGGTGACTGCACAGGCGCTGTATCTTCAGGAATATTCGACGATTCCACAGGTAGTAGGAATAGATGTGGAGAGAAATCGGCATATTTCGGACCCAGTATTCCAAGATCGGTTACGGAGGAGGGGTGCTGTGCAAGGGAATTTGGACAATAAGGTGCGTTAACTACGATATCCTCACTATCCAAAGTTAACTCTCAAAGGAAACTCTCTACTTTTTTAATGTGACCATCGGAAATCCGCCGCAAAGCGTAAGGTTACATTTAGATACTGGTAGCAGCGATTTATGGGTCAACACTCCAAGCTCGCAAATTTGTTCCGGCTTAGCAAAACCTTGCCGGGTTGGAGGAAGTTACGAGGCCAACTCTTCTACAACTTACAAGTATATCGCCAGCGATTTTAATATTTCGTATGTTGATGGGTCTGGGGCACAAGGGGACTATGTGTCGGATATGGTTGCCATTGGGAAAACGACGCTAAAAAACTTTCAGTTTGGGATAGGATACAAAAGCTCTTCCCCCCAAGGCATACTAGGTATCGGATACGCAATAAATGAAGTGCAGGTCGGCAGAGCGAAAAAGAGACCATACGAAAATTTGCCGATGCGAATGGTGAGCGATGGTCTTATAAATTCCAACGCTTACAGTCTCTATCTCAACGATCTTGATGCCAGTACGGGCAATATCCTCTTTGGTGGGGTAGATACGGCTAAATATGTCGGACCACTTCATACGTTACCTGTTCAGAAAACAGGTAAAGTGTTCTCGGAGTTTCTCATTACCATGACCAGCCTATCAATTGGGGAAACTCCTATTGCAAAAAACCAAGCTCATGCCGTGCTTCTCGATTCAGGCTCTTCGCTAACCTATCTACCAAATGAAATGGTTCAGCTAATTTATAAAAGGCTGGGTGCCAAATATGATCCTCGGAAGGGTTCAGCTTACGTCCCCTGCGAACTTGCTCGAAGTAAGGAAAAGCTAGAATTTACTTTTTCTAAGCCAGTAATTACAGTAGATATGAGTGAGCTAGTGATTCCTCTCTTTGGTAGCAATGGGCTACCAATCTCATTTGCTGATCGCTCGCCCGTTTGCTTATTTGGTATTGCGCCAGCTGACAGTGGTACTAGCGTCCTAGGCGATACTTTCATACGTTCAGCATATCTAGTATATGATCTTGACAATAACGAGATTTCCATAGCTCAGACTAACTTTAATGCTACTGCCTCAAGAATTATCGAAATCGGTAAAGGTTCTAAGCCGGTACCAGATGCTCAAGTTGTCTTAGACGACGTCTCGGCTGTTACTGGAATCAGGATTGATACTACCAGGACAGGTCATGGCAACCACGTTGTAGTTGTGTCTAAAATTTACAGCCTTACTGTACCCATCTTGATTATCGGGATGGTGATGACCTGGGCAGCTATATAAATACCGATACAGTATCTGAACGAATTTCCGGGTTGGGATTTGGTGTGGACATCGATCAATCTTTTTTCTATATAAAATTTGAAACTTCCATGAAGTGACCACGAATCAATCTTTAACCATTAACACTATCCTGGTTTCTTAGATGAAATAATTACTGCGTGCACACAAAACTGGAAGGGATTGGGGGAAGTTTAGTAGTCTCTTAACATTAAGCGCTCAAATCCAGTCGCACTTGAGCGTCCCAGATTGGACATAGCGGGCTCGCCGACAATCATACCTTACTTAACAGACGATGTGCGCATGCCGCTGAGGACCACTTTACTTTTACTACATCCTCAAGAGATGAGTCAGGTGCCGTCCGGGTCCGACTTCGTATGTTCCCCACACCTTGTAGGCTCACTTAATTTCACTACCCCGGTACACAACTGGTTTTGTGCTATACTGGCATGAAATTTTATTTATATTACTTAACGTCGTGCCCGCGCATAGCATGTGAGATCTCCACGTACCGATTAGCCCAGTCTAAATGAAATAACTCGAAGTGTTGGCGCCTACACAGACCCATCATAGCAATAGAAGGCCGGGACCTAATAATTCCGCGCTCTAAGATTTAAATATATACGTGAATTTCAGCCTATCGCCGGACCCCATGATTTACAGATGGTAGTTGTATGAAAAAGGAAAATGAATAAAATAAAATGAAAAGAGAATATACCTAATACTTGGATACGTTTTAGTAACTTTGCTGGTAAAGCCAGAGAAAATCCATGGTTCCTAGATTAGCACAATATCTGAAATACGCTGAGATAAGCAGATTTCTGCTCTCTGCTTAAACGACCTCGGGTCATCACATTGACTCTTTCATCGTGATCAGGGGGGCAAATCTAGATCCAGATCCGACTGTAGCAGCCGAAGAAACAAGAGTAGCCTCGGGTGTGGCACTTGCTTGTTGAGTTACCACTGTCTCGGTAGGGGTAGGTTTATGGCGGCCCAGGCTCTGTGGCCCTCTTTACATTTTTATAAAGTGTATGCAGCCTAACTAGCTATGACACTAATACGTAGCTCATTGATAATAGACAATTTCAACCAGTCAATACCTCTACTACGATAGTTAATGGGTACAGCTAAGTGACGGCGGGCTTAGGGAGAATGGTCAGAGCAGAAAAGTATGACAAAAAGGTGGTTTTGAAGGTACTAACAAATAGTAATTGAAGTTACGGATTAACGGAAAAATGCTGGAGCAATGATTTAATAGATGCTAATAGATTATTGTTTGAAGAGGGAATGCCTGATGTTACAATCTACTCTCATATATATCTGTATACAATTGCCCCCTTCAATGTAGCTAGTTCATTTGATGCTGCACAGCTACTCTTTGTGATGTAGTTGGTATAGATGTTGCGGAATGCCAAACAATACGAGCCCAGTCATACGTGGATTAGAAGTCTACCACAATAGTGCTTTGTAAGCCATGCAGATAATGAAACCCACATATCGTATTGAGCAGATTCATGCTGCACCCATGTGATACCAAACTTGAGGGTACATGTTTATTGTGCTACTTGGGTCTATGACTATCTAGCACATTGGGCTCCTCTCTGACCCAGGCCACACCTTGTACAGTGCTCCTATCTTCTTTTGTTACTTCAAAGATCATTGATATATCGCCCGAATTGAATAACCATTCTGCTCAGTATTTACCCATAGAACCTCCTAACAAGAAATGGTAGCAATGTAAACTGCGTGCGCGGGAAAAAGTTTCAAAAAACCTGCAGGCCCAGCCAGGCGAGACCTAGAATCTGGGACCATATGAAGTGCGCACATTCAACTTCATCTTCCTTCGTTGTGACATTCGAGACCGACTTGATCCAATCCATCATTGCCGTATCGAGTGCTGAGTACGCTCCGGAAACTCATCGGATGGCTTTTCTTCAATGACCAGGGTTGGGTAATAAGGAGGGCTTCAACCCTACTGTCTGGCCTGATTGCGGCTAAATTCATGATAATAGTGATAGGGAGATGTGCGGATTGTTGATGACCATACTGGCCGCGAGAGCGAGTGGGTATCCTCATCCAATTCATGACGAAGGTGTTACTCAATATCGGCTTGTTGGAAATGGAGACACAGGGTGTTGTGGACATACGGGCCCTCCACTTCGTCTAGGTTCCCAACACGATCTTGTGTGTAATTAAGAGGATGGAATTGGTAATGTCGCAGCGCTTCAGGCTACCTATTGGATACATGAGCGGCTGTATGGCGTGGGCACTTGGGGGTTTTCTATGCCTATATTGCGCCACATTCGTTTAAGCTGTGGTTAGGGCTCTTCTTTTAAAAAAATCATTTAATGTGTGTGCAGCTATAAAGCTATGACACCCGATGCGCTTGTACTTATAGGGCACACTTCCCACACTTTTAATCGTAATCCGCACATGACACTCTTTTAGTCAACTTCTACTTCCGTTCCATAAATAATGCGCTCATTTCATTGCGCGACATCTCCAACACCGCTCTACAGACTATGTAGTGAGAGCTAGAAACTTATAGGAGATACCATCCACACGAGTTGATGTTCGTCCCCCGACACAACCTAAGTTGCCCAACACAAGCTACACGAACTATCCTGCTCACCAGCCACTACAATCGGCAAAGATGGAGCGTAGGACTGTGCTTGCTGACTGTTTGTAACTTATTTACCGTCCAGCCATTCTTAGGACTTTGACTGAGGGGAGTCACTGTGGGAATGGGCATTTCTGAAAATCACTGATGGCATACGGCAGAGGTCACCGTGCTGTGAAGTACATGAGTTAAAGTTGCCACAAGATATTCTACATCTTTCAACGGGAGAAACCATTCCAGTGCAACTGCACCGAGAAAAAGTCTGTCTCGACGATCATATTCCGTAAGCGTGTCGTTGAAGTCTTATCTGGTGCGAGGGTTTGGTTTGTACATTAACGCGCTGGGCGATTGGCACCCTCCGGACTGCCACGGGAGCTCAAGACCGAGGTACCGATGCCCTGGCTTTTGTCGAATACTCTATTTGATAAGCTGGCGAAATTTCTCAAGTATTTTGTCGATGGCGATTGATCGTAGATCGACTTGTGTGTGCCCATGACCGACGTATAGACGGAATATTAGGCCGATACTTCGACCGTATCTTCAAAGCGCACTATAGTTTCTGCAAGATGGATGCCTACTCCTATCTCAGATTCCGAGTATGACCTTTGGATTTTGGAGTTGCTTGGCAAGTGATAACTTCATGGCGAAGAGAGTCTCGAGGTGAGTTTACAGCGTGAGGATCCTTCCAGGCAAGCTTTGGAATCGAAAATACACGGGTCTTTTTGCATACGATAGGAGAGGAAGCTTCAACACAGATCCAAAAACAAAGGAAAGCTTCCTTTCCTTAAATATTAGGACACATTCAAGTGCATTAGATTAGATTTGTATTGTAGCCCTAACTGAGTCAATGACTATTGAGGACTCCTAGAATCTACAAATAAGATACTAGCTACATATTTAGAGTTCCAACTGTTTAGCTTTACGCTTTGCTCTCATGGACAGTGAGGGACAAGCCCTGTACTCAAGTGCATGGTAGCTCCCCAAGCACATTAAAATAGGAAACACCAATTGAAAATTAACAAGTAATTGATCAAATTATGTAAAAGGACTGGTCACGCTAGCCATACGCACGAGCGAATCCAAAATGGAGTTTATATTCTGTATAACAAAAGGACTATATGAACTACGCCATTAAGGATATGCTAGGCCTTACATAAGCCACACGATCTTGGCTACCAAATAATGTCACGAGAACAATCGTTACAAATGGAATCGGACAACTCCGATTCAAACCATAGATTAGACTAGATTATTATTATAGTCCCTACTGAGTCTATGACCATAGAGTACTTTTAGAATCTATGTCATAGAGTTTAGCCATATTGGAGTATTTTTAATAATCAATTCGACTTCTGTTCTCATAGAAAGTGAGGGCTGTTCCCTCTACGGGTCGGAAATTTGACCAAAATCTTGCAAACACCCCTCTTCCCCATTGCCATCTCGGCTAGGACAACAAAATCCACACCTATTCAATACTGATTCTCCTCTAAGTGTATGATTGAATGAGGACTTGTGAGGGCTGCTACTGTTTGAGGGGAGCCGCTGTGAGGCATAGGAGGGCATATACTACTGGTATAGGTATCCTTGGCCTACAGGCAGAGAGGACCTGCATGTCCTACATAGTCATATGCTTAGACAGGACAAGAGAATGAATTAATGATATTAAGTCCAGGTTGTCCATGTGGCTACCAATCGCAGAACTCCAAGCATACGATTATGTCCTGGCCCCGATGGTCAAATGGTAGAGCTTAAATATGGAGACAAGCCGAAGATCGATCCTACGAAGCAATGGTAAACAACCCTCGAGACATTAAAAGGATAAGACAGTGGATCCTAAACCATGGTTGAATAGAGCAATTCCAGATGACAGAGGCGGCCGAAATGCTGCTGAGGGATAGGAACAGGTCAAGTAACAATCGGGGTAGATAGAAATGATCTGGTTAGTTTACATGGATGGCACTATAGTGTAATTGCGCTTCCTGAAGAAAATAGGGAAAACTAAAGACAACAAATAGAAAGGTGTGGGGGGTTTTCACCACAAAGGTTTCCTCCCGGGTAAATATTATAGATCGTAGACACCTGCATGGGCCCATAGGGCGCCAAATCAGGATAATGAAATCAAATTCAAAAAAACTGTTGCTGTAATGATCAAAATCATATTCGTAAAACCAACAAGTCAACATTGTTATAATCTGCTAGGAGATGCCAGTATTTCATGCAAGTCCAAGGACATGGACTCGAGGGTAACCCATAACTAGAGTATTATGGATGTGTAATGCAATGGAATCTACTGGATAGTGTAGGAATTATGATATGAATATCTGGGACATGTATGCTTTGAGATGTATAGCTTGCCAGTTCTAGTTACTAAATAAGTCAATAAAATACAAGCGTTCTTCAGTTAGCATAAGTTTTCTCAATATCGACATTGGAGCTCTGCGAACACATAGCATCCTTTCAAGGTAGAGATTCAACCCGTATATGCTCATAATATTAACAGATCCCTGAGCTTTGGCATTACGACCTATTTTCCTGCTGGCGGGTGCACATATTACGGTAAATTCAAATTAAGAGATAGCCCGTACTTGAGGAAGAAAGCTTCTATCCTCCATTACGGAAGCTAGCTGATTGGTCATTGAGGTAAGATTGAGTTGTAGGACTCGAGTGAGAATAGGACCGACATTGGTAAGAAGTCGTTGAATATAAACAAATTCGTGTTTGCTTCTCACTTCGACTTATTGTAATTTGTTTGCTAGACCTGGCGGTGTAGCTTATCACAGTTAGAGAGTGTATTCTAGAATGCAGTGGTGGCCCGTTACAGATGCGATTGCGACAATACAATGAAGTGTTGTATGAAAGTTTGGCACTTCTATGGGTCTCAATTGTGTGGAGGTTGATTTAATTATTGATGATAATTGTTTGTTATGTCTATCTACAGAGAATGTGCTACAGTTCTACATGTGTCCGTAATCGCTTAGATTTGGCTAGTGGGCTGTCCCCTCTTTTACTTCGTTCCCGTGTTCCATCATGTGAGATGTAATAACTGCTCACCACGAAGTCCGCAAATTGAACAGCGTTAGATCACAACACGACTCATATGCAATTCTTCTTGGCTATCTTATATGTACAGAGCATATTGTTAAGGTTATGAGTCATATGGGAACATAGTTACTTGTCACTTGTTATGTCTGATTGGAGTATGTAGAGGATATGTTCGACAGATTTCGGTACTGTCAGAAGTGGGAATATATGCTATCTTATATACATCTGTATGACCCATGTCATAGTCTTAGTTCCATCTCGTGATTGACTATCTATAGTAATCACATTACCAATCCAGCACTCATGAATCCACGGTTCATGAGCGGCCATCGCTGCTCCTGCGGCTCTCGTATATCCTCCGCTTGCCAGTCGCATCACTGCTCCTATAATCGCAGCTCAGTACCCTAGTTGAGCGCCCCTGAATAGCTGATCCAGGGGCGAACGTACTGGTTTCCTTTAGTGACACTCGAGATACACCTGTACACTCGATGCTGTTGCATATACGCTGAGTGGTACCCAACCCCTTGCGGCTAGCACTTATATTCCAGGGGCTTATGGTGTCGCTACCCCGATCGCTTCCATGTATAGTTTTTACCTGGGCGCTCCCGCGCCCAAATCTTGGTGGCGAGCAGTAGTTGTGCATGTTGCAGTGCTAGGTATGGGTTTGCACCTTCGGTACCGTGACCGTTATTTGTCGGTACTATCTCAACACATATTGAGCGTTCAGGCCATCACGGCTGGAAAGTGAAGAAAATGCCTTTGCCGGCGCCGGCTACTTGCATACAGGGTGACCAGTCTCATTCCTATCAGTGGTGTCCCCTACGAACCTCCATCTCTCACTGTAGAGTCTGCAAAGCTGAGATTGAGTAACAAAGTCCTCGCTTCGAAGAGGATTCCTAATCGCTTTCGCGGTCTGTATCGTATTCATCCTTAAGCACATTCCCCCATCACCACTATCATGAAGCTAACCACGATCAGATCAGGTGGCGGGGTCGGAGCCCTTTTCGTCAACAATCCTTGATCATGGAGAAAAAGCCATTCGATGAGTCTCCGGAACGTACCCAGCACCTGATACGGAGATGGTGGATTGGATCAAGTCGGCCTCTAATGTTATAAAGAAGGTAGATATAGATGAATATGCGCACCTCATGTGGTCCCGGCGTCTAGGCCTCGCCTGGCTGGGCCTGCAGGTTTTTTGAGACTTTTTCCCGCGCACGCAGTTTCCATTACTATCATTTTTTTCATTTTTTTGGGTAGAAGGTTCCGTGGAAAAAACAGGGTATGACCCTCAAAATCTATTGGAAAACATTAAATAGCCTCATTTTAACATTGAAATAGTAGCCAGAATTTAGTTTGTAGATTCTAGAAGTCCTTCATAGTCTTAGACTCAGAAGGGACTATAATAAAAATTCTTATCTTATCCCTTCCGTGGAAAAGGTGGCCGAATTCCGTGGGTAAATACTGAGCAGAATGGCTATTCAATTCGGGCGATATATCAATAATCTTTGAAGTAACAAAAGAAGATAGGAGTAGCGTACAAGGTGTGGCCTGGGTCAGAAAGGAGGCTAATGTGTTAGATAGTCTATGACTCAAGTTGTACAATAAAATCATCATGTAGGGAAGTGTAATGGACGCTATACATGACGTGCTATGAAACATGTATCACGTAAAAATATTTATATAGAGATGGTTACAGCGAACTCTGCTTAGTGAGATGGTTTGTTAGGTTAAAACTGTCCACACTCTCGGTGTCTAACTTACACAAATCATCCTGTATTACTGTAACACATCATACATTTCTCTATATACCGTATGTTATCCTTTGTCTATCATCAAACCTGTGAATCTATTCCCTCAATATCTTATCAGTTAGTCAGCACTGCAATAAATCTTCATGCTTCGTCACCGCAGTTCTCACGAGCCATCAGAGAACAAAAGATTTACCAAAGCTCAACGAACGAGCAAGAGCAAAAGTCCGTCACTTAAAGCGACACCAAGAGGAAACAGGCCTCAAAAACGACACCAGGGGATCTCGACTGGAACAAACATTGAATTATGTCGACCGTTTACAAGACTAACACCTCCCTAGTATCACGGCAAAGAAGACAAGAGGATCATGATACGAATAGACTGAGAACAAGAAACTCATAAAGCAGACCTGCTTCTACTTCACTAACAAGTTCATTGTCTGATATCCGACCCATCACTCGTAGTCGACGCACAGTAGATGCTGTCAGCCGTTGCAGTGCTCGTCGAATCGCCGAAAAAAGCGACTATTATTCTACAGCACATGGAAGCTATTGCTGCGCGATTTGGGAATGCTGTGATAGAAAGACAAGAGACTTAGACGATGTTTATTGTCGCTCCTATTCCAAAGAAAGTTAATACGTTAGATGAAGCTCATGATCCATTTTATGGGCTTTTACTTGGGGAACCGACGATTAGAGCCATAAAGAATATTACTCCGATCTGACACATAGCCTGAAAACGTCAGTCTAAAGAATTTCTTGGCCCATTTGGGCACATTAGAATTAATGTACCTGAGGCGAGAGAGAACACGCTACAATCGCGGATGCATCTTTTTCGATGAGTAACAAGCAACAAGCGTTCAAAGAGTCTCTAAAAAGCAGCAATGCGCACCTGCAATAAATGTTTTGGCTTCCATGCCACGAGAACCTGTGCCCGCTATTTCAAATGCGGCTCATGCGGTATGGCTTGTCATGAAGATTCCTGCTCACGACAAGTACAGTTTATTCATTTCCGCGGCCCTTACAAATTCACTGACATTTTATGCCCAGCTCGTCTATGGAAAAATCATGCGTATTCGTTCGCCTAATAGGGGCATAGTTGTGACATATTAGATTAGATTTTAGATTAGATTTGTATTATAGTCCTAACTGAGTCAATGACTATTGAGGACTCCTAAAATCTACAAATAAGATACTAGCTACATGTTGTAAGTTCCTACTTATGAACTTTATGCTGTGCTCTTATGGACAGTGAGGGACACGCCCTGTAGTTGTGACATATACGCACCGATGGGCACAGAGAACTTACTAGTACTCTTAGGCGTACCCAGGAATTGGCAGAAATGGGTGCCGAGACCCCTCTGAACTAAACTCTACTCATGAAATATGGTCAAAAGACAAAAAACCTCAAAAATTAGACCAATTCGAATTATGAAACTTAATTTTAGAAGAGGAGTATACGCGCATAATATGACTCTCCAGCTTGCGCACGAAAATAATGTAGACGCATTATAGATACAAGAACCTTAGACATTGAAAGACTTAATGGCGAAAAGGTCAAAATCACACCAAACTACACTCCTTTTCTACCACTCGACGAATGGTAGACTCGCCCCAGAGTTCTAATCTATATTAGGATTTCACAAGGATTGCGCTCATGCCAAACTGCAAATATCATCTCTCCAGACCTACTGTGGGTGATAATCCCCACCGGGTGAGATCGGAAAATGGTAGGATGGAATGTGTAAAACACTAAAGCTGGCTCAATCCGAGAGGGAGAGGGCCTTAAAACACCGATAGAATCATCTAGTGCACCTGAATTTTTCTGTGGAGATTTTAAATTGCGACACCCAATCTGGGATTCACATGCTATATATGCTTCTAAAAGGGCCAAATCTTCACTTAACTGGATAAGGGAGAAGGAACTTAGTCTCTTAAATCATACTAAAACATCAACACGCAGAGTTGGCGGAACGTTGGATCTACCTTTCTCCTCCCCAGCCGGAGCTAAATGTGAGGTCCCTTCTGACCTTATTACCATATCCGATCACGAAACAATTGTGACTACCTTATCTGGGGACCGGAATGCGAATGAAGATATTGAAAGGCAACTGCGGTACGACTCAATCAACGAGGCTTTACTTACGACCCTACCAAGATACCCAGCCGACCCACAACTTTTTTGATAGCAGAGGACATTAAAAAAGAGGCGGGAAATATTGTTGAAGTGATCCAAACAGTTCTCCAGGTGGCCTGCCCTCGAGCCATAAAGAAAAACTGCGGCACTATCTAGTGAAACGAAGACTGTAAACTTATAGCTCATGGGTACTAATTAGCAAGACAGAAAGTAAAGTATGAATTCGAACAAAGAGAGCCCCGAAATGCGATCAGACGGGCAAAGGAGTGCCGGGTGCTAAGGATCGAAAAGTTGGAATTTCTACCAGAAGTATATCGCATCGTGAACTGACACAACACGCCACCCAAATACCAGATACTACCATCAATAGTATCAGACAGTGAGGTTAACATCTAGAGCCCGAAAGAAAAGCAGCTTTTTTCCATATAGCGCTCCTCTCCTGTCATTTGGAGGCAACTGATACCCCAAAAGATATCCCCTCGACAGGCGCGAGGCGTGTTCCTTGGCAACCATTCTCCGAAGCAGAGTCATTCGGCGCAACTCGTCAGCAATCTTCCATCTCCCTAGGGGAAGATAAAATTACGCCTCTAATTATTCGACTATCATGGTCCGTATTAGGGGAGTGAATTGCTAGGCTGTTCAATAAATGCGCAGTAAGCAGGGTATATCTAGAGACATTTAAGCGCTCATTCATTGTTTGTGTTACGGTTTGACCGCTATTAGAGCTTAGGTGAATACCTAAGCGGATTGTTGGGAATATTTACAACTAAGCGGTACTGCTAGTCAGGAGGTCGAAGCGTTACTACAACTAAGTAACACCTGGCAATGCGTGGCTGGGTAGCAAGTATTGTGCCTAAGGATAAGTCATCAGTCTGGAGATTGACGAAGGGGACCAATTCTTATAAATACCTGTTAGTCGTTGCTAGAGTTCTCTTTTCTCCTCATATAGTTTAATAAATCGATTTATTCACAACCAACTCGGTTTCCGTCACAGTTTGTTGGAAATTCAGACTCTATGTGTCTGAAGTTTCCCATGATTGGAACAACTAAGATTCTCACACATGACTCACGACCTAGATGATTGATATCTCCCTTACTGAGCATGTTTGATGCTTGAGACTCGACTAGTGCATGGTATGGTCTGATACACGTGTAGGCTTTCATCCACCGACCCTGACCCCATACTTATGTTATATACTGTTGTACGTTTCATTGTCATTGTTAGAGTATGGAACGAGTGATGGATGGTATCTAGTCTGGATTTGGTCTATCAAGATTACATGTATATAAGCTGTCTAGGAATCACCAAGACAGATAATCTAATTAATTCAATTCATTCAACCCATCTTTTATTTCTCCATAGTATATCACATATTCTCCCGATTCATATCATTATTATTCTATTCATAAAATCGCGCCCATATTCTTTGAGCCGCCTTACTCATCGAACCCATACCGATTTTCCAACATTGTTATCTTACAAAAACCTGGCAAACTGTTGGAAGATGAAGTATAATCCTATTAGTAACGATTACCTTCATTACGTAAGGGTTCCCAACGCAATCCCTACATCCACTATTTACACTCTAGTCCCATCTCTCCTGTAAGATTTGCACGAACAGGTACTAGTGTGGCTCTACTTCTATGACAGGAGAATACAGCGTAAATGATTGCTTACCACCACTTACTGATTTTCAACTTAATTATATTATTACGTGGTTTTATGGTCTTGATTGATATCTTTTTATATATAAACAAATAATCAATTCACTCTTCTCGGCTCTGCTTTAAGTGATCCTATATCTCTTTCAACGCAAACGAGATCGGACACTACCCAAATCCTATCGGCCTATTGCTCTTCTTTCCTGTCTTGGGAAAGGACTTGAAATGTTACGGCGAGTGTTAGATGATGTGGGGGTCGCCATCTGCTGTAAGTATCCTAATAACGACTATGCGGATAATTACAAGAGAATTTACCTAGTCATTTTTAGGATACTTATAGCAGACGGCAATCCCCACATCATCTAACACTCGCCTTAACACTTTGAAAAGCTCCAATCAAGATGTCGTCATCATCAGTAGAAAGGAATGCGGCTTTACCATCACATCCCGCATGGCAAGTAATTTCTGAAAATTGGGGAACAGTAATTACCAACTCCACCGCAACTTAATTTGTTCTCCCATCCAAAACTCCTGTGACAATTAGACACTCCCTGAGTCGAGCTCACATGACGGGTAAGTCGTGTATGGGAAATTCAACGCCTATCAATTTTTGTGGACTCTACCCGACATCGGTCACCGATTCACAGTCCCAGGTGATTGACCAAGCTATGTGTTTAGGCCAAGGACTAGCGCTTGCGGCAAGCCGACCCTTCATTCGCTCTACCCCGGCAAATCCCTCGCCGTCGCCGGTAGTAAGTCTGAGTTCTCGAGATCAGTTCGATGGGACTCGTTCGAAATTCGGGAGCTACATCACAGATTTACAGCTACAGTTTCGTTCGAATCCCAGGGCCTTTAGTACGGAAGAATCGAAAATCCTTTATGCCGGCTCATACTTATCCGGAAGTGCATACACCTGGTTTGAGCTAAATGTAGACCAAACTTCCGGAACTGTCGGATTCACCACGTTCTTGGAATTCTTGGAATCCCTCCGTGCAGCCTTTGACGATCCCGACGCCTGTGCTACATCGGAACGACAGATAGAGGCCCTATACTAGGAGAAATCACGTGCAACTTACTACACTAAAATGGTGTCGCTGTTTTCTCAGTTGGGCTGGGCCGAGCCCAAGGTTTAAATTTATTATTTTCGGAAAGGGTTAAAAGATGTAGTCAAGGATGCACTCGTGGGGAAAACTACGCCGACCACTTTTAGCGAATTCGCCTCGGTTTGCACTGCACTAGACAACGAGATTTTTGCTCGTGGACAAGAGAAAAAATCAAACATACCATTAAGACCAACCCAATTAGTAGGTCCCTCATTCCTTGCCCCAGCGGGTCGATCTAGTCAAGTAACACAAACACCACATTCAAATATCTTGGTTGGCAACCCGATTGAATTAGACAACTCTGAGGCGTGTAAGGCAACGCGCAAGGCTTATCGTCAAGCAAATAATTCGTGCATGTACTGTGGTAAGCCTGGGCACATTGTGTCGAAATGTTTGCTACTTACATCTCGATCCTCGCCAGTTGGAAATCGACTTTCTAACACTGAAGTTACGGGAGATGGGGTTTCCACCTCTGAGTATATACAAATACCAAAAATAACTAGAAATATTAGAAAAAAAAGCGACATTTTCCTAGTAGCCAATTCTTTTTAGACTCTTCGTCTATCTCTCTTCGTGTCGCTCTTCCGAGTTCCAACTATTTTTCCGCCCTCAAGCTAGAGAACCCACTCTCAGAACCTTTGCTTCCTTTGAAACCGTGTCTAGTTGAGAACACGTCTCCAGTGATTCACACCTTTGACTTAGGCAGTGAAAAGCCTATAACTACTACAGCCATCCTCTCCAGAAAAATTTGCGCGGACATCATGATTGATTCTGGAGCATCTTCTTCCTCCATTGATGAAGTTTTTCTTAGAGAATTTCAATTGACTCCACGTAGAAAGAAACATCCAAAAACGGTCCGTGCAGTTGATGAGAGACAGTTATCTTCAGGCAAGATCACACATGAAATCGACTTGCCCCTTCGCATTGATAAACATACTGAAATATTAATCTTCCAAGTTACTCGGATTGCCCGTTACCACGTCATTCTTGGCAAATCATGGCACTCAAGACATGGTCCCGAGATTAAATGGAGTGGCAACATCATCTCTTTCACATCGGTATTTTGTCGAAAAAATTGTCTTGATACCCTTCGGATATCACAAAAAATAGACACTTTGCCCTTGCAACCAACTCCTGTAAAATCCTTGCTCCGTACACATGATTCGCATAAAAATGTGGATATTGCACCAGTTTTAGTTTCAGCCATACAA